TCTTCACGTCACTTCCCTTCCGCGCACCCCAGCTTTCTGGATCCAGGCCAAGCCCCCCACGAGGCAACGACTGCTCACGTCACCGGTATTGGCCGTGTCCACCATAGCCCCGATGCTAGCGTGTTCAACCATCGCTGTTCTCATCCTCCAGCCAGTTTTGAGTCGGCCGTGCGTTTTTGCAGAAGACGCGCAAGTGTAAGGTCTGTTCTACCTGAGCAGGGTGAATGCCGTCTCCCATCTGCACCAACCCTGCCTCCTGGGCAGCCCAGGCGTCACCATCAGCCAGCTGCCTGCCTGGTGGGGCCGGTTTCAAAACAGAAATCCACGACGCTACGTCATCCATCATCTTATTTTTTTATGGACTCTCGAATTTGTGCCTTCATCATCCTGCCTTGTTTACCGTGGCGCTTCTAAGTGACAGAACCCCCATCAGACTGAGTATTGTTTAATACTGCTCACCTTTCTCTCGAAGCTTACCTCAGGTGAGCCTTGTTTTTTTCATGAATGATACAATGAGAGAGTGTTCTTCCGTAGGCGCAGCTGCCTCTCGAGTGTTGTATACATGGTGATCCTCTTGTTTCAGGCATGACGCGTCAGCCACCTGCAAAACATGTCCTCTCCGAAGCATCTCCGGAGAAAAGGGCCACACCCCAGATCAATCCTGCTCCTGGTCAAAGTTTCTTTGTGGTCATGTACGGGTGGACGGTCACCTCCTGCTCGCATAGTGGTTTTGGTGGCATACGGCCGTCAGCTGGGTGTCCAGAGCCTGGTTGGTATTCATCCCACAGTGATCCCGGTTTGGTGATAATCGTTTTTGATAAAAGAATAATCAGTACTCTGCAAAGATGGTGCAACAGAAAAGCTGCATCGCGCCCAAAGATTCTTTACGAAACAACTTATAAAAACTAATTCTCTGAACGAATGGCATCTGCCATCAGTTCTGCTCTTCAAGTAGCAGAGAATTTGTATTTGACACCTTAAAATGTTCCAACCAATGTACTGCATTATAGCTAAATAAAAATTTTGACATGAACACCTGGCAAAGGCTTCTGGTTTCTTTAGTTGTAGTTCCGATAAATGTAATTTTTGTTCATATAATTGAGAGCTGGACTTTAGCAATTCACTCCTAAGATGAAGTGAGTCTGTGTGTGATATGTCTGGATTGGATACTAAACCCAGAGAGAGTCATTTCGAGGAAATACCATTAAAAGGAGTGTGGTAAGTGAACTAATGCCTCCCCCCCCAAATACATCCTAAATCTCCAGTACTTGGGAATATGTTAGATCTTATGGAAAAGAGAAATAAGATGGCAAATGAAATCTACCTTGCTAATAATCTTCTTACATAAAAGAGGAAGATCTGGATTATCATGGGGGAAGCGACAAGCATGGATTTCCATATACATGAAAGACAGATGAAAATAGAAGGTGTGAAGGTGATGTGCTGCAAGATGCAAATGGGTTTTTCTAAATTTATTGCTCAGCATCAAATGCAATTCAGTTCAGCTTTACAAATAACTTTGAGTAGTCTTAATGCCCATCATTCTTCACAGTCTAAATATTACATGAAAGAATACAGAAGAATAAAGAAATATTTTATAAACAGAGAGGCCCAAGTCAAACAGAAGCACACATAGTTGGCACTATATTGAGGCAAACTTATAGATATGTGGGTGGGATTTATATATATAACATGTATGTGACATATAACTTATATACACAAACATACACCTGTGTGTTATTTTGTATAGAAAATATTATTAAGCCTATATTTTTGACAATTTACATGTGATAATCAGGGCTATTAAAAAATCGGAATTGTAAAACCCTAAAAATTTTACATGACATATAAACTGTAAAAAAAAATAATAATTAGGTGATGTAAAAATAGTGGTGATGGATACTTATTCTACTGAACAGAAAAAATTAATGATATGTCTATTAATTTTTTTCTAGATAAGAAAGATATTTTCTCGCTGGCATTAAAACAATCACTTTTCACTTATGTTAACATTAAAAAATGCCTTTCTTTTGCAAGCTGGCATTGGACTCACAGCCAACACCTTCCTCCTCCTCTCCCGCATCCTCACGCTCTTTCTGGATCACAGGCCAAAGCCCCACGACCTGCTCACCGGTAACTTGGCCCTCGTCCACATGCTGATGCTGCTCACCATGCTGTTTCTTTCTCCAGGCCCGTTTGAGTCCCTGCGTTTGCAGAATGACGTCAAGTGTAAGGCTCTGTTCTACCTGAGCAGGGTGATGCGGGGCCTGTCCATCTGCACCACCTGCCTCCTGAGCATGCTCCAGGCCGTCACCATCAGCCCCAGCTCCTCCTGGTTGGGCCGGTTCAAACAGAAATCCAGGGGTTACACCATCCATTCCTTACTCTTTCTATGGATTCTCAATTTGTTCTTCTGTAGTAACCTGCTCTTTTCTACCGTGGCTGCTTCTAATGTGACCCAGACCCAAGAGCTGAGTATTGTTAAATACTGCTCACTTTCCTCTGCAAGGTACCTCAGGTGGAGCCTGTTTTTCATGCTGATACAACTGAGAGACGTGTCCTTCGTAGGCGGCATGCTGCTCTCGAGTGTGTACATGGTGACTCTCTTGTTCAGGCATCAGAGGCGATCCCAGCACCTGCACAACGTGTCCCTCTCCCCGAGCATCTGCCCGGAGAAAAGGGCCACCCAGATCATCCTGCTCCTGGTCAGTTTCTTTGTGGTCATGTACTGGGTGGACCTGGTCATCTCCTTCTGCTCGATTGTGTTGCTGGCATACGGCCCCGTCGTGCTGGGTGTCCAGAGGCTGGTGGTCAATGTCTATGCCACAGTGAGTCCTTTGGTGATAATCGTTTTTGATAAAAGAATAATCAGTAATCTGCAAAATACGCAACAGAAAGGTCATAGAGTTTTAGCAATATAATAAAAATAATTTTCTGAAAAAATGTGTGTCTCTGCCATCAGTTCTACTATTCTGATAGCAGAGAATTTGTTATTTGATTTACTTAAAACATGTAAAATTGCACTTTTATTATAGCTAAATATTTTCACATGGATGCTGGGAAAGACTTTGTGGTTTCTTTAGTGTAGTTTCCACCACGACTTAGTGTTCTATGTTTTAGAAGTGTGTGAATTTTCCTTTTGATTTTCTGTTCTTCATATAAGAAAACTTTCTATCTTTTTTTGGTGTCCACTTTTGGTGTATACTCCTATTGATTATAAAATCTATCAATGTTTAACTTTATATTTATTTCTTTTTTACTTCTGAAAATATTTTTGAGTACCCTTATTTGTTAAAGGTATTCTAGCTAAGTATGCAAATACAAAGTGAAGAATAATTTCTTTCAGCACTTTTTGTTTATTTCTGTTTTCTGTCTCTACACAAGCTGTTCAGACTTTGTTTTCACACTTGTGGCTTCTCTCTGTCCTGTCTCGCAGACTTTTCTATTTTTTTACCTTTGTTGTTATGCAGTTTGACTGTTACTGGAACATTTAATTCTTTTGAAACAGTGCTATTATGCTTCTATGGATACATGTCTCAGTTTCAATTTTAGATGTTAATAAATCATTTATTTGTTTATTGTAATCATTGCTTTTTGTACTTTAGTGGCAAAATTAAATTATTTTCTCTTCTCATACTATTTTTATAGATTTATAATTATATTGGCATTTTTATTAGTTTTATTTGATGATTTTTATTCTTGTGATTCTTCTATCTCACTAATCCTTTTATGAGTTCAGTCTAATTAAATTTTTAACCAAAACATCGTACATTGAATTTATGTATTTTTGTTGTTTAATTCCTGCCTCTTTTATTTCCAAATATGCTTGTTCAGTTCATAATTTCTCAGTTTTTCAAAATCATTTTGATTTTCCATTTTGTCTTATTGACTTCACTTAGACATTTTTTTTTTTTTTGAGACAGAGTCTCACTGTGTTGCCTGAGCTAGAGTCCTGTGGCATCAGCCTAGCTCACAGCAACCTGAAACTCCTGGGCTTGAGCAATCCTCCTGCCTCAACCTCCTGAGTAGCTGGGACTACAGGCATGCACCACCATGCTCAGCTAATATATATATATATATATATGTATGTATATTAGTATCGCCAAGCTAATTTCTTTCTATTTTTTTAGTAGAGATGGGGTCTTGCACTTGCTAGGCTGGTCTCAAACTCCTGAGCTCAAACAATCCTCCCACCTTGGCCTCCCAGAGTTCTAGGATTACAGGCATGAGCCACAATGCTCCGCCTGTGTGATCTTTTTAAAGATAAAACATGAGCATTCCAAAATAATTTTTGTGTTCATCAGAAAATTTAAAATTATACTCCACGACTTTTGATTCTTTTCTCTATAAAGCATATAGGTGGTACATTGGTGAAAAAAAGAAAATGGAGCCTAGAAATCAGAACTTGTCTCCCTCATCAATTTGGTAGTTGACCATGATTATTCAGTACATCCTCACCTACATATGAAAAAGCTTAGATAAAGGTTCCCATGATGCAGGCCTGAACCTTTTAAAGGTAATTATAAAACTCAAAGCATATTGTACATGTGGTCCCTGCGTATTGGAAGAGATTCAGTCCTGAGAGCGTCATCAGGTTGGGTTTGTATGAACTCAGATCCTTCATGAGCAGCACACAGGCAGTGACAACAGCACGCTAAGCGCTCACGTGTGGGAAGAACACGACAGTGTGTACTGTGCTAACAACACCCCTGTACTGGAATTATACGTTACAAAAACTAGTGTGTTCTTGCTTTAATGCAAACACACGGAACATAAAAACAAAGTCATACAAAAGTTTAGACAGGAGATCACAGAATTTTCAAGAAAAGAATATTAAAGGTTCACACTCACCTAATGTGGCATCAATGCTAGGGTAATAGGAATGTTTCGCTTGTTTTCCTCTTCTGACCGAATCAGTAATGAGCTTTCCATTTCAATAATGAATCCACGATCCTGCTTAGTAGTGACTGCTGCTTTCCCTGGAGCTCCTTCACATGTTCCCTTATTCCCATTTACTTTTCCTAATTGTTCCAATAGTTGAATAACTGGAGCCTGTTACTTTGCCTGTGAAGGATGGAGTCTGGCCTTTGTCCCAATGCTTAACCATTTCTACCTTTATTTCTGTTGTCCTCACCTTTCTGTTTGCTGCCGGCTCTCCTGGACTCACAGTGCGCTTTTGCTTGGGAGGCCTAGTTGTGAGGGAGGCGGTCTCACAAAGTCAGAAAAATGTTATGACACAAGTGACGCTGTGTGTGAGCCACCGCCCCGCCAGGTCCCTGAGATCCGGCCCAGAGGACAGAACCACTGGGCGCCCCTGAACTCTCCCGTGGGCGGGACACGCCCCGCTAGGGCTACGGGGGGACGTGCCTGTGTTTGGGGGGAGCGCCTGGTCAAGAGGGGCTCCTGGGCAGGCTTGGTGCTCACACCTGTCACCCCAGCACTCTAGGATGACAAGGCAGGAGGATCGCTCGAGCTCAGGAGTCGGAGGCTGCAATGACCTATGGCAATGGCACTGCACTCGACCTGGGGTGACTCTTGCAAAAAACAAAACAACAACAACAAGAAACCACAAAATAAAAAAAAAGTGGCTCTGTGTTTTGCAGCGGGAAACTCTAGCCTTGAAATTTGTTTATTTTATTTAAAACCTCTTAGAGACTATTTATTAATATTGTAGGATGTACCTATGATTCTGTCAGTAAATTTGAGCATATTAGTAGTTTTGGTCAGTGTAACTAGTCCTTTTGTTTGTTTCTATTTTAAGGCTAATTTTGAAGTCTATCTGAAATCAGTAACATCACTTCAAAAAATTTCAATGAGAGGAGGTGCATACTCGTTTTTTGGAGGAACTGATATCTCTGGCTAAATCTTTGGACTCTTGTTGTAATTTGTAAGTCAGTTATTTTGTTGGAGTTTAATTTGAGTAACATGAAAAACTATTTAAAAATTCCCCGTAGTCCTTAGAATAATAAAAGAAATTCTGGTGCAGTGGTGGTATACCAATCTTGAGAATTCTTTAGTGTTCTAATGTTTTCAATTGTGGCTCCACTTGAAAAACATTTATGTCAGAGCAATTCTGTTATTTTTAAATGCCAGTCTTTACCCTGGAAAGAAACAATTCATTTGTCCTAACCTTACTTAGCAGGCTGGATTGCCACCTAAAGCATTCTTTGAGGATTACATTTTAGTAGTGCCAGCTACTCGGGAGGCTGAGGCAGGAGGATTGCTAGAGCCCAGGAGTTTGAGGTTGCTGTGAGATAGGTTGAAGGCACGGCACTCTAGCCAGCGCAACAGAGTGAGACTCTGCCTGAAAAAAAAAAAAAAAAGTAAAATTACATTTTAATGAAGGAGACCAGGAATTCAAAAATTAAGCCCCTTAATTTTTCTTCTACCATTACAAATGTTACTGGAGGAGTGTTCAGAAATTAAAATTTGTGTTTGTTAAGACTTGATGGCTAGGCATGGTGGCTCTCGCCTGTAATCCTAATACTGTGGGAGGCTGAGGCAGGAGGATCGCTCTAGGACAGGAGTTTGAGGTTGCTGTGAGCTAGGCTGGTGCCAAGGCACTCTAGCCCAGGCAACAGAATGAGACTATGTATCAAAAAAAAAAAAAAGATTTCATGCTGTTGTTGGTTTCAAGAAGTATTAAAGGTGATGTAAAATGTATGTAAACCATGACAGTTGGCATTTTTGTACTTGATTTTATTTATGAAGTGAACGGCATTTATAGACTTGCATATGTTGAACCATTCCTGTATTCCTGGAATAAAGCCCACCTAGACATGGTGAATTATTTTTTTTGATGTGCCGCTGAATTCTATTTGCTAAAATTTTATTTAGGATTTTTGCATCTATATTCATGAAGGATATTGGTCTGTAATTTTCTTTTTTTGTTGCACCCTTTCCTGGCTTTGGTATCAAGGTGATATTGGCTTCGTAGAATGAGTTAGAAAGGGTACCATCATTCTCAATGGTGTCCAGTAGTTTCTGTAGTTTAGGTATGAGTTCATCTTTGTATGTTTGGTAGAACTCTGAAGTGTAGCCATCTGGCCCAGGACTTTTGCATTTGGGGAGGTTTTTAATTGCTGCTCCAATTTCTGAGCTTGAGATTGGTCTATTCAGGAATTCTGTTACCTCTTGGGTGAACTTAGGGAGGTTGTATGAATCCTGGAATTTGTCCATTTCATCTTTGTTCAATAGTTTTTGAGCATATAGTTATTATAATAGTGAAATATGATATTTTGTATTTCTGTGGTGCCTGTTGTGATCTCTCTTTTTTCATTTCTTATTGAGTTTATTAGAGTCCTTTCCCTTTGAGTCCTTGTCAATCTAGCAAGAGGGTCATCAATTTTGTTTATCTTTTCGAAAAACCAGCTTCTGCTTTTGTTGATCTTTAGTTATCTTGTTCTCCATTTCATTCAGTTCTGCTTTCAACTTTATTTCTTTTCTTCCACTGGGATTGAAATTGCTCTTCTTTTTCCAATTCTTTAGTCTATTCATTAGGTTGCCAGTATCTAAGCTTTCTGTTTTTTGATATGAGTGTTAATTGCTAATAGTTTTCCTCTCGGGTAAGCTTTAGCTGTATCCCACAGGTTTTGGTAAGAAGTATGACCATTATAATTTTGTTTGAAGAAATTCTTGATTTCCCTCTGAATTTCTTCCTTAACCCAATAATTTTTCAATAATAGATTGCTTATTTTCCATGATTTTGTGAGGCATTGAGTGTTTCTATAGGAATTGAACTGTAATTTCATACCATTATGGTCAGAAAAGATACAAGGTATAACTTCTATTTTCTTGAATTTTTTTGAGATCTGATTTGTGGACTAGTATGTGATCAATTTTGGAGTAGGATCCATGAGCTGCTGTGCAGAATGTAAATTCAAGTTTATTTGGATGGAATGCTCTATAGATATCTGTCAGACCTTTTTAATCGAGGGCTCTGTTCAGGTCCATTATTTGTTTGCTTGTTTTCTGTTGGGAGGATCTATCCAGACCATTCAGTGGAGTGTTGAAGTCCCCTGCTACTATGGCAGAATTGTGTAACATGGTATTTAGATTAGGCAAGGTTTGCTTTAAGTAATTGGGTGCTACTGTATTGGGTGCACAGATATTAAGAATTATTAAATCTTCTTGTTGAATCTTCCCTTTCACCATTATGTAATGGCCATCTTTATCCTTTATTACTTTTGCTATATTAAAGCTTATGTTATCTGCAGATGGTATAGCTACTCAGCTTTCTTATGACTTCTGTTTAACTGAATGATAATTTTCCATCCCTTGACATTCAGCCAGTAGGCATCTTTTTGGGTTAGATGTGTTCTCTGAAGACAGCAGATACTAGGCTTGTGAATTTATATCCACTCTGCCAGTTTATGTCTCTTCAGAGGACAGTTTAAGCCATTTACATTTATTGAAAGGATCGAAGATTAGATTACTGAAAGGAGGAAGATTACCTTTCATATTGTTGGGTGGAGACTTGTTGCTTTGTTTTACTCCTTGAGCCATCATGTAGTTCAAGATCTAAACTTTAATTCTTTGAGGATTTGACTTTGAGGAGTGTCTACTGCTCTGTTCGGTTAGAAATGCAGGTCTGAGAACTTCCTGTAGGGATGGTATGGACTTTGCAAATGCCTTCAGCAATTGTTTGTCTGAGAAGGACTTTATTTATCCCTCATAAATGAAACTTAATTTTGCCGGATAAAGAATTCTAGGATGAGCTTTGTTCTGTTTTTGAAGATTAGGCATAGGCACCCAATCCCTCCTAGCTTGTAAGGTTTCAGATGAGAAGTCTGTGGTTAGTCTGATAGGCCTACCTTTATAGGTCATTTGCTTCTTTCATCTTGCTGCATGGAGAATTTTTCTTTCACGTTTACCTTGGTCAGCCTAAAAATCATGTGATTAGGTGATTGCCTTTTTACGTTGAGTCTCCCAGGAGTTCTATGTGCTTCTTGTATTTGGATATCAAGATTTCTGGCCAGGCATGGCATATTTTCCTCCAGTTTTCTGTGAAATAAGTTTTCCAGCCATTGTGAATCTTCCTCTTCCCCTTCTGGAATCCCAATCAATCTGACATTTGGCTTTTTAACATAATCCCACACTTCCTGTAAACTTTGGTCTTGTCTCTTGTTTCTGTGATGCCTTTCTTCCTCTGATTTGTTTAGAGCATAGGCATAATCTTCAAATTCAGAGATTCTTTCCTCTGCATGGTCCATCCTGTTCTTTAGGCTTTCCACTCTATTATGGAGATCCTTGATTGTTTCCTTCATTGCCAGAATTTCTGTTTGGTTTTTCTGGATAATCTCAATTTGTTTGGAGAATCTTTCATTCATCTCCTGTATTGCTATGATGGTTTCTCTATGTTGTGATTCTATTTTCTCTTCAATTCCATTTAGTTTTGTAGCAATCCATATTTGGAAATCTTCTTCCGTCAGTTTACTCATTTCATGTAAGTTGGTGTCAGATGAAGGAGAATGAGTATTTTGCTTTGGAGGTGGCTTTTCTCTCTGCTCCTTCATGTTTCCTGTGAATTTTCACTGGTTCTTTCTCATCCAGGTGCTTTATAGAGGATCGGAGGTGCAGGGACTGGATTGTGAGCTAAAATCTAGAATACTAGAGGGAAGATCCTTGGCAGATCTGGGGATATGTGCTCTGGGCCTGTAATGTCTTAGAGGAGTTTGAGCCTGTTGGGTTATCTTTTACCTGTTGTCTTCACTGTCTTTTAATAGAGATTAGTGAGATTGGATCCCTTGCTTAGACTCCCCAGCAATATATTCCTCCTGTAAGCGTGATTCCCCTATCAACTACTAGTATGAAGAGAGAGGCACTGTGATGGGCTATGAAGTTATTCTCTCTTTGTGTTGCTTGTGCATTGCATGGAGAGGTAGGTTATCAAGCTATTCCAATACCTCTGTAATGAGCTCTAAACCCTTAAATGTGGTAAACAAGACTCTCATCCTTTGGGGAGTGTCGTGCCTCTCCCAGGGGATCCTTGGGCCCTGTTTCCTATTTAGTTGTGAAGAGATAAGCAGTAGGTATCATCAAGCCTAAGAGATTATACTTCAGAGGTTGCTTGATCTGTAGCTAGAGGGAAGCTACTAAAAAGTTATTCAGAAGTCATTTGCTGCATACATGTGGCAGCTCCTGGTGGAAAGTGTCTTTTGGTGCAATCGTTAGGGATTCTCATTGAGATTTTCTTTCTCTGAACGCAAGCCTATAATTTTGCAACTGCCTGGATACCAAGGACAATCCCTTGTATTCTGCTTTTAAGAGATGATCCTAAACAACTCGTTATAGTAGGGCATCAACTCTTTTTATTCTGACCCTCCAATGATGGGGTTTATCTGTATGGTGTGAAGTAAAAGGCTCGGGGCAGTTGAAGAGGCCCTGCCCAGGGGCACTGAGGGACACAGAACAGAGAGCAACCTGACTGGCTACTCTGTTCCTGCCTATGAGGGGTCAGGCCCTTCCCTATGGAATACCAGTGGCCTGGTTGCAGGAAGGACCTTCTGCAACCCACGCAGGCCTTGGCCCTAAAAGCAGACTCCCTCACCACTGTCTGCTTTCAGGGCTGGGGGCGATCCTTTGGCTGAAGGCCCTGTCTACCAAGTTACCTCCAGGAGATGGGCTCATGTCTCAGCTTGGGTATCAATTTAGAGAAGCCATTACTAAACCCTTTCAGGGAAGGGACCTGGGCCTTTGGCGGAAAACAGGCCAGCAATGGATAATAAACAATAGGAGATGGCAGTCCAGCCTCTGGTTTGAGCTTGAAAAATGGCTTGTTTCACTAATCCTCCCATGGGTGGAGTCTGTAGATTTGGAGAGAACCATCTAGCTCAAAATCCCAGAATGTGCGGGGGGTACAGTTGTCCCATGTCAGAATTGGAAAATTGCTCTCTTTCCTACTTCCACCATGTTGGGGCAGGTTCTATTCATTAGGAGCAAAGCAGAGGGAGGAAGGGATGAGATGGTTAGGTGGGATGGGGGACTGCCTCACCTCACCAGGGCACACCACCTGGGGACACTACCTGGGGAGCAATCTCTCTCCCTCTTCCCTCCCCTCCGTTGTGGGACTTGAGACACTGGGATCTGCCAGGGGGCTTCACCAAGGAGCAAGCTCGTTGCTCTTCTGTCCCCTCACCATCAGCGCTTGAGCGGC